GTGTTCTCTTTGGATTATAAATACTTTTACATTGAGAGTGAGCGCTCCCTCACATATTTAAGGGCCCCACCACCGTCAGACTGCATATTTTATTCTCAACTGGCCATTGGTTTATTGCATTTCCTGGTGTTCCCTTTTTCTCTATTCTCTACTGTGTTCTATTACATTGTTGTCAGCTATGTCATTCTGCTCTTATTCACCTAAAAGGCCTTTTACAAGCGATAAGAGGAAATGGTTGTCTCTTCCTGTGTTTAATGTTAAGGTAACACGATTGTTGCTATAGCTGCTTATACAGATCTTTCCTTCCAGAACAGAGGTTTCAACACATCTACTAATTCAAAAGTAAAGAAATAATTTAGATATACTTTAAATGGCAGAAAATATGAGATGATCTAAGGCTCTGTGTCTTGATGAAGGAAGATATGTAATAGGTAGTAGCTGTGTTCTATGATGGTGGATAGAGAAGACGAGTAAAATGGTGCCATCTATGGTGCCACTACAGCACGCTGCTTCACTAATTATGTGGCTTTGAACTTTTAGGTGTGTGACTGTCTTATACATTTCCTTCAATGGGAGTAAAAGACACAGAAGCACAGGAGAAAATCTTTGGTGTCCTATATTGTTACATGACAATTATGACTGGCCTTCATCAACAGCTTATTTTATACTGTTTTCTTTTTCAGGTAGCTTAATTGTGTTATTTTGTAATCTCCTGTCAGATGAAAATATCTTTTATTTCTGTCTGAGCTTTCCTCTTTAACAGAAGCCAAATGCTAATAACACCACAGTAAATCTATGACAGTGCCAGGCACACGGGCCAAGTATTTTTATTTTATCCCCAGTGCTTACAGAGGATATTTCATCAAAATGTTTTCCATTCGTTTTTTTTAAAAGCGCATGCATTGAAAGGCTGATGACTCTGAAAAACATTTCTAATACGACGCTGACCATTAGATTGAAAGCAGGGCAGCAACCCTGAACTATGTATTATCATTCACTTTTAGGCAAAATATATACCAAGGGAGAAGATCTCTGAATTACTTTCATGCTATCTTTTAATATAAAGGAAAAAGGTTGGATATATACCAGGTAGTCTGATTATCTCTTCCTCCTCTTATTTTGTGGAGGCAGTGGTGGGTAAAGAAGTGCTGTGAAGGAAACTATACAGTAACTGGGTCAGGGGGTGGGCTTTAAAGAGACCCTGTCACTTTAAAGCCCAGCTCTAAGATTTTCCCATTGCTCAACAGAGAGAAATTATTTATTACTTAATCAGATTGGACATTAAAGAATATATATTGTTTTTTGTAATATATTTAATTTCTTACTTCGTTATGTCTAGGAGAAAGGGAGTAATTTACTTCTATGCTCTAAATAGCCTATGTAATTTGATCTTCTGCTAGTCAGATCTATTCACAAGACACACACAGCTAAGGAGGGATATCTCCAGGAGCTTCTTGGAGCTTCTTGGAGATAGGGGCTTACTGTATTCCGCTAACACTGGTATTCAACCACTAGAGCAAGACATGTTATGGGCCATTTCACACTTTTGCATATGCCGTAGCGTGTATTTTTGATGTGTGATACTCAGTGTATTTATGCACATTTGTGTATGTTTGGTACTCTATTTTTGTTATTTTATTATGATGTCAATGAGGAAGATACAGAATAGGGATCTTCTATGCGACCACTAGTTCTCGCCAACCGGTGGTCCGCGAGAAAATTATGGTGGTCCCCGGGCCCCTCTGATGCCGTGCAGGCTGGGCCGTCATTGAAGTGGCACGGAGGCTCCGGGGCTGCCTCTCACTGACTCAAGCAGCGGCTGTCACAAGGAATGCGCAGCTCTCAGTACAGTGCAGGCTCTACAGGAAGCTGGGCATCTCGTCAGTACCCGACTGAGCAGGCTGCGAGACATAGAAAAAGGGGGGAGAAGCTAGGTAATAGTGGCTCAGCGTGGGAGAAGGGGAGGCACGGGGGTGGCTGGGGGCAGTGCTAATGTTAGGGAGGGCATGTGTCCCGGGCGGCGCCGGCAGGGCCAGTGGCAGATTTGATAGGGGGGAAACAAAAATAAATATAACCGAACTTTGATAGAACTTTTCTGGACACATGACCTGGAAATCTACCTTCAGATAGTGCATGTTCCACGCCAAGTAACCCTCCCAGGCACCGCTATCCGCCACTTCCCTCACCCTCCCCCCCTAACTTCTCATCTTATTTACTTTTCCCCCTTCCTGCCTTTTTATGACTGTCCCCCTCCACTAAGACTGTACAACAGTCCTCCCTACCATAATCTTCCGCCTCTTTCTTTATACTTTCCTGCTAAACCTCTCCAAAACCTTGGTTAAAGCCAGTATGCTCTGCTAGACTGGCTCATATATCCACCAGGTGGTGGATGCCAACTATTGATCGCAAATGTTAACAAATGCACGCTGCAATGGATATAGCGGCTATGTTGTGCTACAGTATTAAACACCATGTGCTAACATCACTGATTGTCTGTACTCCGGGAACCACCACCTGTAATGGATGTACCTGGTTTACTTTTTTTATTTTTATATACCAATAAAAATGTATTGAACAAAAAAAAAAAAAGTACACAAAACTGAAGAGCACATGTGTATTTTGTGCATTTACTGATTATTTTATGGCCCTGCTTGACGTGCATGAATGCATAAAAATGCATCTTCTACTATAGTTAAAAATTCAATAGGCTTTAGTCTATAGATGTAAAGCATTCGTATTGGCATAAATCAGATTTCTATTGACATACTGTACAATTTCCTGCATGTGTTAAACTGCAGGAATCCGGACAAGTGTCAAGTACATAATAAGCCCTAAATTTAAGGATACAGTATCGTATCATTTATGGCAACAGTTTCTAGTTCAGGATAGACCTCTGAAATAACTATGATAATTTAAAATATTATCTGAATATACACATAATATGCATATTTTTATATGTTGCAGTTGAATGTGTTTTGTCAAAAGGGAGGATTATGTTTGTTTGATTTTGAATTTTAAAAAAATATATAATTTTTTTGTTTACCCTTGGTATTGTTACATGTCTCATGAAAAGGCATTTGTGTTAGCAAGACACTGGAGGTATAATTCTCTAAAGCATACAGCATTAAATATTTATAACGTAGAGAGTGTGTGTGCATGTCTGTAAAGAGGCAGATCAAGAATATTAACTTTTGATGGCTTTTAAACTACTTTACTCCAGTGTCAGGCAGAACTTGATCTCAGGGTGCTTGTAATTTAACAATATTTACTATTTTATATCAATTATTATATAGGTATCCTTTATACAGTATACATTTTATACCTAAGGAAAGGCACTTAGAAGGGAAACCTGGAGCAAAGTAACCTATCAGACTAAAGCTACTCTTTATGTAGTGCATATTTCTTTTACTTTCATTGTCTTTATATATATAGATAAAAATCTCCAACATACATCCTACTTAAAAACAAATCTATATTTTTCTTATTACATTATAAATATAAAAGTTGAGAAAACAGAGTTGCAAAACTGCAGCTACAGAATATTTTTAAGGCTTGTATGGTGCCTCTGGAAGTATCTTTGTTTCTGGAGTCCACTGGTGTTCATTTCAAGCTGAGCTCTGGGAATTTTTTTTTTTTACACACAGTAACAGGTGTGTAACATATATTCAATAAGATGTATTTTATGTTTAGATGGCTGTTGCATTGTATAAAAAATCATACCTTGCAGCATGCCAGCTCTGACACAGCGCTCAAGGGCTCAAGTCGCATCTTTCTTACAAAAGGTGTTCTGTGATTGATGGATGATGATCCTCTTATCATCCAATCACAGAGCGCCTTGTATTCTGTGAGAAAAATACTTGGCCTTTTTTGAATGGGCAAGGAGTGAGGATGGGCCAGGGATGCAACTTATGTGTCAGAGCCACCCAGCTGTGAGGTATGAATTTTATATTCTGCGGCAGCACTCCACACATAGCATTTACCTTATTAGACACTTCGCGCTTTGTGTAAGAAAACTCTTCCTACACAATTCAGTTTTCAGTTCAGGAGTTCTGGCACTGAGAAGAATTTATAATAGCAGCACTCCCCTCACAAACCTGAAACCCTTTGCCTACCCTAAAGCACTGCTTCTGACAGCCTGAACCCTAAACACTTTATCCATTCTTCAAGACAAGTCCTTAAGCCAAACACTTAATATGTAACCCCTTAACTTAGGTCACTACACCTAACCCTTAACCTGATGCTAACACCAAAACCTCTTTTACCAACTCTAGCATTAAAACAAAACTCTAAAGGGAGCCACTAATAGCATAGTGAATGTGATTAATTCACTGTGCAGTGAAAAGCCAAGCATTTGCAATAAAGATTTAAAACACCTCAACATGATTAGATGAGAGAGGTCAGCAGAGCATCAATTAATTTACTAAGCTAAGGGAAAATTTCCTTGCAAAGTGAACAGCCTATTTGCCTTTAGTAAATCAAACCCCACTGCCCTTGAGGAGGGAGGGGGACCACTTGTGTACCTAAATTTAAGCTTGAACTTTTGAGCTTTGTGAACAACAGGTTTTTTACAACTGCTCACACATAATCCAAACCTCCTAATGCCTGAGCCTGAAACCTAATTTAACACCAGTTCACTAACCTTTTCTCCATACTCATTTTATGCCATGCCATGATAGGAAAGTCTTCTCTTGTCCTTAGATTACACTATTAACTGAGAAATCATTTAACTTTTTCTTTCAGCTGTCATCAGTAGGGCAGAACCAAAAGGTACAACCTAAGAGTCACAGTTATAGTTATGAGAATTTATTTGAAAGTGCAGACAGTCAGATTCACTTTTGTTTTAAAGTCTGCCTGCAGTCATGGAAAAGTAATAATGATTGTTGGTCACCTAATAGAGGGTATAAGAACCCTACATATTCACATGAACAAGCCTGATGTAGCAGATGTGTCTCATGTAGCAAATTGTTTAACAGCAGTCTTAATACATTATTATTTTCTAGACACGGAGAAGTCTCAACAAAACCAAACAGATGACTCTAATCCTGAAGATGGCTCACTAAAGAAGAAACAAAGGAGGCAGAGGACACATTTTACCAGTCAACAACTCCAAGAACTTGAGGCCACCTTCCAGAGGAATCGTTACCCAGACATGAGCACCAGGGAGGAAATCGCCGTGTGGACCAACCTCACAGAGGCCAGAGTTAGGGTGAGATTATAGTAAAACTATTACTAATTGTTATTGAAAATGAGGTAATTGAGATAATTTCTGCAAAATGCTGTCACGGGGCAAAGTCTTGCTGAAATTTACGCAGGCTGTTAAAGAATAATAATGAACAAAATGTAGCTTTGGCCTCATGTATTTATTTTCTAATAGACAAAAGGACACAACTATTTTGGTAACTTCAAAAAAACCATGAAACTACTAAAGGAATAGCAGCAATTTCAATTGTTTTTTAGTTGTTCAGTCGATGTAGAGGTCTATGGGTTCAGTCAATGAAATAGAGCCAAGACAAAATGTAATGCCCACAACAACCAATTCTAATTTATGTAATGATTTGAGTTCAGTAACGGCAAACCTGATTTGTTATAGTGACCTGCATGTTTATTGAATAAGCCTACTAGTCTAGTGCCGTGGTTCACAGTCTGTGGGAAACTTACCCAAAAAGCACAAAGCATAGTATAGTGAGATGAACATAAATATTTTTGAGATTCTGAGTAAATGTCTAAAGTTGCATGGCTGCTTAAACCTATAACCATGAAAATATTACTATACAAAATTGATTGGATGATGTTTAGATATGATCAGTACATTGCATTACAGAGATACTATGTGGATTGGTATTGCCAACATCGCCGCATAGATTTTCTTTAATATTTTCAAATGTCTCACCTAATAGTAACTGCATATTGATGAGTAATGGTGGAATTAATTTTTTTTTTTGGTATGATGAGACAATAATATATTTTCTTTCAGGTATGGTTCAAGAACCGGAGAGCCAAATGGAGAAAACGAGAGCGAAATCAGCAAGCTGAACTTTGCAAGAATAGTTTTGGAGCTCAGTTCAATGGACTCATGCAGCCCTATGATGACATGTACTCTGGATACTCCTATAACAACTGGGCTACTAAAAGTCTTGCAACTAGTCCCCTCTCTGCTAAAAGCTTTCCATTTTTTAACTCCATGAATGTAAGTCCTTTGTCATCCCAACCAATGTTTTCTCCACCCAACTCGATAGCCTCTATGACCATGCCTTCTTCTATGGTTCCATCAGCAGTGACTGGAGTTCCAGGCTCTAGCCTTAACAATTTGGGGAATATCAACAACCTTAACAGCCCCAGTCTCAATTCTGCTGTCTCAGCCAGTGCCTGCCCCTATGCCTCTTCAGCAAGTCCCTACATGTACAGGGACACATGCAACTCAAGCCTTGCAAGTTTAAGGCTGAAAGCTAAGCAACATGCCAACTTTACGTACCCAGCAGTACAGACTCCGGCTTCAAATCTAAGCCCATGTCAGTATGCTGTGGACCGGCCAGTATGAACGACCACATACCAAAGACTTGATGGTAGCCATAATACAGAAGACCTTATTGTCCTGCAGTGGATGCCTTTTTAAAAGTCAAAAACAAATGGCATGACATTCTATCTGAGGAACCATTTCAATTTTGAAAATGACAAAACTGCAGACTTCATTATATTTTGGGTTCAAGAGGACATTCTATATGAATTGCTCAAAGGAAGACAGTGTTTCCAATCCAAAGAAAAAACTGAATTCCAAGATCTAGAGTACTCTTGGTTCACAAGGCAAGCTGTTTCATTGTTGTGCAGTTTTGATTGAACAGAAAGTTGTCAGGCTCCCCCTATTTTGTACAGTTTACCTAAACTAGAGACATAAAATATGTAATAGGTTATTTCAATGCAAAAAAAGTCACCAAGCCTACTTATTTATCATAAGGATAATCCAAACCGCCAACAGTAAAGAGCAACAAATGCTGCAAATATATGCATGACTGTGGCAATTGTCCAATGGGGAGCCACAAATGTAATCTAAGGAAATAGGATGTATATATATTATATAAAGTATAAGATGAACCTTTTTTTTTCTTGTTTTTGTATGTGGATTTATCTATAAAATAGAATTTAAACATAAGGCAATGCATGTCCCAGTTGAAGCAGACTCCCACAGCATTTTTGGCAACGATGTTTTGCAAGCCTGCTTCGGATTCTTTGAAAGTGTAACTTTTAATAATGGTCATTTTTCTTTCAACAAGCTTCAGTGCCGCTCTGTCTTTTCTCCCCAAGTTCCATTTGAAACACAAAAAAAAATAAAATAATGTTGCAGAAATCAGTTTCTGATTTGTTATTACTATAAACATGTTTATAGGGTTTCATTTTCAGATTCTTCTAACACTTATTCTTTATGCAATAGAAGCATATGTATAAGAATTATACCAGTTAGGACTTGTATGTGTCCACCTCCACTCCTTTTTGTTTCATAGCTGAGCAGGTCTGAACCTGGAAACAAAACTCCTCCTTATATTTAATAGGAGTTTTCACTCTGTTGGCTTATGCTTTCCAGCTATCATGATGTGGTGTCACCATTTTTAAAAAAATATTTCAGACACTTGATATTACCTGCTCTCCTACTGTAAGGAAAACAAGGTGTTAATTTATTTTATCTAGCTTAAAAACTCAGGATTTAAAAAACTATCATTTTACATTACATGTAGCTTTATCACTGAACATTTAGCCTGAACTGTCCTTGTAGCCATTATACAGTATATTTAGTTCTAAGTATATTTACGTATAACTTATATTTAGTGCAACACTCATTTTTTCATAGTTTAGTTTCCTATATAAAACAACTGGCAGATGGACACAAACATTTATGGACACCCATATATTTGACCCTCCTGTAGAATTTAGGTTTTATAAAAAAGAGCATATATACTTGCCTATTCTTGCACTGCTCAATGCTGCAGCATTGGTTATAGGATCACACAGGGTGATGCTATTTGCACAATTCTGCCTAGGGGCAATGGCAAATTAAAATCCTGAAAAAAATTGATGCTTCTAGGTACATTTGCACACAGTTTTGAAGGAATTTGGCGGGTAGGTTGTTCCAAATATCTTGGAGAACTAAGCACAGATCTTCTGTGGATGTAGGCTGCCTCAAATCCTTCTATCTCTTCATGTAATCCCTCATGTAATCCCTCAATGATGTTGAGATCAGGGTTCTGTGGGTGCCAAACCATCACTACCAGGACTACTTGCTCTTCTTTATGCTGAAGATACAGTAGTTCTTAATGGCATTGGCTGTATGTTTGGGGTCGATGCCCTGCTGTAGAATAAATTTGGGGCCAATCACACACCTCCCTGATGATATGCCATGATAGATAAGTATCTGATTGTATTTCGCAGCTTTGAGGACACCATTAATCCTGAAATGCCACACCAGACTTGCATGGAACCTCCACCATGCTTCATTGTTGCTGCAAAGACTCATTATTCTACCACTCTCCAGCCCTTCGGTGAACAAACCTACTACAGCCAAATACTTCAAATTTAGACTGATCAGTCCAGAGCACCTGCTGTCATGTGGATTCGGGAAGCTACTGTATATGTACAGTTATTTTCCTCAGTCTGGTTATTCAGCTTGATAGTTAGGGGTCAGATCTAATTGCCTGACCTTACACTAAAGCTACACAATTATATTTTCTTCCGTCTACCTGCGGAGTGAACAAAGGAAATATAACAGATTGCTTCCACAATGCTTACGAGCGTGGATGGAGCAATCACCTGCTGTTTTGCATTGTATTCTAAAAGTGGTTGTCAGTCGCTGTTAGAATACCCGAATGAAGCTTGCAGCTGATTCAGCCGAAGATTTTCTGACCTGCTCCTTCGATCAGCAGGTCGAGGGATGCCTGGCAGAAGGGTGCCGACAGGCAGTGGCATCACAAGGCGGGTGTGGCCCGAACAGGGTGACATTACCATAGAGGGCGACACCAAAATGGCTGACAGTCGGGCATTTGGTCATGGACTAAGAGCCTGACAGCGACACGAGAGGGGGGACCTGGTGGCATACCTAATCCCGCTGGGTCAATATCCCCTCCTCTCTTTGCTGGAGTCAAAGAGATGGTCGCCGGCAGTGAAGTACATAACTACACATGCGGGTGACAACCTCCCCGGTGCCGCTGCTGCTGCTGACAGGGGCACCCACTGTGCGAATTTTGGCCGGTTCATCGAAAACCGGCTGACATTTGCAAAGTGTAAATCCTACTTTACGCTGTCTCCCAACATTACAATGCCAAACAACAAAGTCCCAATGTTCAGAAAATTTGAACAGTTATATTGTTCTGGTATTTATTCTGTTATGCCCCCTCGGGAACTTGGGAGACAATTGAATTCATTTACTAAAGTAGCAGAGGCTGTTCACTTTGCAAAGTGAATATTAGTGAATAAGGTGAAGCTGTGTTTATTTTGAATACCCAATCACATGCTAGAAACAAATGCCGTTTACCCTAAAGGTGCCCATACACCTTACAATTATCTATTTTTTCGATTATGCAGCGCCAACACAATAGTAAATAAGTGATAAATTAAACCATATAATGTGAACAAACACCATTAATTATATAATGTGAATATGTGTTATTCAGTGAAACAAAAACAAATAAATGTGAAACTGTGCCCACTTTTGAAAAAATTGAAGAAATTAAACGAAATAAAATACAAAGTGAAAAAGTCCGTGTGTTGTGTATTTCTTTTTTTCCACAACACACGGACTTTTTCACTTTGTATTTTATTTCATTGAATTTCTTCAATTTTTTCAAAAGTGGACAGTTTCACATGTATTTGTTTTTGTTTCACTGAATAACACATATTCACATTATATAATTAATGGTGTTTGTTCACATTATATGGTTTAATTTATCACTTATTTACTATTGTGTTGGCGCTGCATAATCGAAAAAATATTTATGCTTTGACCCGTGTGGTCTTGTTTTGCTGCAGCCTTCATATTCAATAATTTATCACGATACACATTACAATGTACAGTCACTGATATTTGTTCACATTATTTTCTGTGTTGGCGCTGCATAATCGTAAATCTCTCACCTTACAATTATCTGCAGATTTTCTGTGGTCAGATGGAAAAAGTGCAACAGATTGGCCCAGGTGGAGATTACTCCATCCACACAGTTAAGTGTAGATGTTGGAATCTGTTGCACCTTTTCCATCTGACCACAGAAAATCTGCAGATAATTGTAAGGTGTATGGCCAGCTTTATACTCAAGCACAGCTTCACTTGATCTACTAACGTACACTTTGCAAACTGAACAGCCTCTGCTCCTTTAGTAAATCAGCTCCAGTTTGTGAGGTCAGGTAGTTAACTGAGACAAAGTTAGTAAAGGTGAATAAGGAGGTAAATATAACTTTTTCATGAATAGGCTAGCACATGTATATTAACTTAAGATGGAATTCAGCTTAAAAAATAAATAAATGCACACATATTCATAAAAGAAAACATGTGCATTTATTATTTTTTTGCACAGGAGCCAGTACAGCATTGCAACCGTCATCAGGGGATCGCAGGTTCAATGCTTTGGCTCCTGCAGATTCTTCCTCCTGTCCATGACTGTACCATGACATCAGTGCACTTGTATTCCATTAAGTACTATAAGTCCCTCTGCGGCGGTGGCTGATAGGACGTGTAGTTTCTCCATTCACAGATCTAGCTGTGTGGACGGTGCCACGCACAGTTGGGCTGGAATAAAAAATATAAACAAGCCTGCGGTGAGAAGAAACTTGCGTTTCAGGTAGGTGGGTGGGGGTGGCTGGGTGGGGGTGGGGGCTTTCATGTTACACGCTAAATATGGGTATATGAATCAAGGCTGTTTTTTTTTTTAGTGTAAAACTCTACTACTCCATTTTAAATATTTAAAAGAAAAAGCTGTCTCTACAAGTAGATGCCACAAGATGACTGTTATTACCTTTATTAGCAGGAAAAACCTCTGTGCCACTGTCTGATTAAGTTTCACATTGGCGCTTGTGGTCAACTTTTCCTGGCTTTATGGCGAAGTTCAACCCCCTTTCCAAAGAGAGTGCCCTTTCAGTCTCACAAGGCTGTCTCATTGGACAACAGAATGGCAACTGACGGAGCTTACCTATGATGTCCAGGAACACCCCGTGTTGATACAAAGTGATATTAAATCCGAGACGGGTACATTTAGGGATTTTCTGTTTCATAAAAGTAGCAGGTGGACAGAACTTTTAACAACAAAGACTCTGAAGTCAGGTTTTAGTGGATTTCTAACCACTGAGAAACATGAGTTGTATGTGTACATTAGAGAGCTGACAGGCTGCCAAGATTCTGACACAAAAGAAAGTAATAGGGGAAAAAAAGATCTCTATGCCTTTGTTGTGAACTATGAAGATTAATTTCTCCACAATGACTATAGTTAAATAGGTAAGTGATAGCTTGTTTTCAATTGCTTTTACTGCTTTTTCAGAATATTAAAGGATTATTTTTAATAAAATCAATACGGTCCAATTTAATTCTTGACACTAATGTATCATAATTGTAGGAATAGAGTACAGGAGTAGAACTTGTAAAAAAAATTCCCAACTTTTCCTAGGTATTTTATGTTTGGGGAACATCAAGTATAAAGGAACTTTTTTTGAAATGTCAACTAATTAATTTTGTTGTAAGATATAAAGCTAAACAA